AGGGAGCAGGAGAAGCTGGTCCAGTGGCAGGGCTGACCACACTAGGAAGCAACTCTCTCCTCTACACTAATTCTAGGGCTTAGCAGTTCTCATAGAGGGATCTGGAGGACAATGAAGAGTGGGCTGAAATGCAGAAATGTGGAGTTTTCCCTGGGTGGGGCTGTGGTATCAGCACGTTCTAGAAATTCTCCAGGTAGTCCCTGTGCTCAGTGGCATGGAAGCACAGGCAGATGCTTGCTGGGTTGGGATCTGACTGCCAGCTAAGTCAGGGAACCTCTGGAAGATCCCAGAGGACCCTGGGCTTAGGCCTGCCTGTGGGAGCCTCAGACCGGGATGGCTGTTGGAATCGTGTCTCTGCTGTCCTTTCAGGAGTATAAGGACAGCCAAGGGCCCCCCACGGTGGGAGGCAGCTAGGTCACATGGAATGAGGGCTGGTTGGGGAGGGACTCCCTTCTGACTTCCTGCATGTCATTGGCCACCTAGCCTAGCCTTAGTTTCTCCATCTATAAAGGTGTGAGTCAAGTCTTCCAGAGGATTCCAGGGCTCCCTGGGAAGGTGGTGCTGAGTCACCTCTGCTCCCTGCAGAGACTCCAGGAAGAAGAGCGCCAGCGAGACATGGACTGGGCCCGGCGGAGGATTCCTGGCCGGGGAGCGGGGGTGGGTGCAGTGGGTGCCGGAGGGGATGTGGGGGGCTGTGGAGGCCACAGACAGGGAGGGGGAGGGGAGGGGGAGACACCCCTCCTAGGATGTCCTCATCCAGGCACGGGGGACCCTAAGGGGGCTCAGACGGGTGGGCAGGCCCACGCACAGCTCCTTGCTGTACATGCGGAGTGCACTGAGGGAGGACGCGGAGTGCACTGAGGGAGGACGCGGAGTACTCTAGAAGCCCAGGGCGGTACCCTGAGTCTTCAGGAGGAGTCAGGAAGGATTCCTGGAGAAGGCGTCCAGTCTGAGGCTTGGGAAGAGGTCAGTGTGGTGCCTGCTGTATCAAGGGCTCTCCAGGCAGAGGGTCCCAGCTGCTTCTGGAGTCTTCCTCACAGACAGGACCCCAAGAGTAGTTCAGATTCCAGCCACAGAAAAGTGTCAAATGCAGATAAATAGGTGAACTTGTCGCTAACAGAAGGTATTTGTTTACTTATTTCTCCATTATCGCACCCTTGGCTTAAACTTAGAAGGGACCCACAGGCATCTTCTCCAATCAGTAACCTACTGACTGGTGGCCCTGTTGTCCTCACTCCTTTTGGGGGCCTAAGAGGAGCATGGAGGGATGACCCGACAGACCGAGGGATGAGCAAAACGTCTTTCCAGTCACACATATGGTTGCTTTTACGATATTCCCAAATTTCACTGGTACCCGCCCCTGCTCTCATGGTGTGATTTTAAAGTGGCTGTCACGGCTGAGGAGCTGTCGGTTAGATTAGTTATCTGAGCTTATTAGAGTTGCAGCACGTGCCTTGGAGATAACACAGTAGTAAAAAGGTGGTGGGCTTTTTCATTTTTAAAAAAGAGTATTTAGGAGGTACATGCATTTGCCAATCCTGTCTATTGTCGTTATCAGGAAGAAATGTATGGAAGAAGTCTACGCAAGTCAGCCCACAGAAGACTATTTCACACAATTCAATACGCGGAGTCGGTAACGGAGACAGGTTCCCTGTGTTCCCATGTCGAGTACGGCAACCTTAAAGAGTCATGTTTACTTTTTAAAAAATACCCTCCTTGGTTCAGAAGTACCCTTCCACTTTTTGTGTCCGCTGTGGGCAAAGTATTTATTAAACCTCTCCCTCTCTCATGCCGATGTACATGATCGTTTAACTGGCTTCACCACTCTTCTGTCAAGCATAGGTCTGTCCTCTTACAGAGATTCCCTCTAGGGTGCCCAGGCATTTCAGCGGCCAATAGGCAACTCGGAGAACTTAGGCTGGCTCAGACTCAAGTTCATGACGGCAGGGGTAGGAGACACCCCTTACATCCACTACAAAGTCATTTCTACAAACTTCCCGACTGCCTCAGGGCTAATAGCCATCTGACCATGGCTGCCAGGTTGATGAGGCTCCCATTGCCAAGGTAGCCAGGGTGGCCGGGTGTCCTGACCCGGGGGGACAGTCGAATAGGTTTCCTGAGTGAAGGAGTGAGAGCCGGGACAAGTGGCGTAGTGTTCCAGTTGTCTTCAGTGTCGTCTGTTTATTGTGGGCAACAAGGTACAGCACGGAGACGACGCAGGGTTACAACTCTTCAGGGTCGCGTCGTCTATTGTGAGCAGCACAGAGACGACGCAGTGTCACAGCTCTCGAGGGTCATCCGGAGATGATGTAGTGTTACAACTCTTCAGAGTCTCCCCAGGTCATCTGGAGACGATGCAGTGTCAGCTCTTCAGGGTCTTCAGAATCATCTGGAGACTGTGCGTTGTTTCAGCTCTTCAGGCTCTCCTGGTCATCGTCTGGCTACTGTGGGCCAGGCATCGTGGTTATATACACACTGGTGGATTGTAAACGGTAGATCGTGATTGGTTGTAAATGGTGGACTGTGATTGGTTGTAAACGGTGGGCTGTGATTGGTTGTAAACAGTGGGTTATGATTGGTTGCTTTTGGACCGATCATGAGGTGCCGGATATGCAAATCTGAGGGATTCTAGTGGCCAATCAGAGCAAGGTTTTGAAGGTCAGGTTTGTTTTGTTTTGTTTTGTTTTTTTAAGGTAACCAATCATGGCAATTGTTTGCTCTCTGAGGAACCTTGGCAGACTTGCTGGTGCACAGCCTCCCACAGCCAGGCAGTTCGCCCACTGGGACTGGCACTCTGGCAAGAACCTGTTCTTCATAGAAACTGAGCTTTACCCAGAGTCCGATGGTGGCACTAAAGGGGACCAGGATGTTTGGGGAATCTCCAGTTTGCCCCATGACATAGCCCAGGCCTCAGCCTCTCCTGGCCTGGCCCTGGCTCTCAGGTCTCAGTTCATCCTGTCAGGAAGCTGTCCTACATTCTTGCTCTACTTCGTATTGTCCTTGGGAAACCCACCATGTTAATTACTCCCGTCCATGAGTGGGTGAGGCCTGCTCCTCTGTTCTCTGGAACAAGGTGGATGCCTGCTGTGGCAATGGTAAAAGTCCAAGGAAAATGGAAGGAAGAGCCGGCACAGGAGGAACCAGTGCCCGGCCACCCACTTGGCTGCCAGCACCCCAGGGCAGCATGGCCCTCATCAGCTAGGTGGGGGTGAGGGCCAGCAGGTTGCTGTGCCGAGTCCAGGCCTAGGAACTCCCAGTGGCCTCTTACCCCTTGTTTCTTGAGCAGGAACTGCCAGTTTCCAGGGTGATGGACAGTGACCGGAACACTCCCCATGGGAAGGGGGGTCAGGGAGGGAGTGGGGGCACATTAAATTCCTCAGGTAACTGAAGCAGAGTGTTGTGAACTGACTCAAGCCATAGAAACGTACAATTCATTACGGCCTCAGAGGTTGGAACCGGAGGCCCAGGCATTGGCAGGTGTGGTTTGGTGGCAGTCTTTGGGGTTCTTAGTTCGTAGGTGTGCCACCCTTGCTTGTTCTTTCTTTTCACCCAGTCTTCCTGCCTTCGTGGGAATGTTCCTATGCCTCTGCCTTCTTTCCTTATTCGTGACAGAGTATGTACATGCACGTGTGAGAATGAGAGGGGGAGCGATGAGCACTGTCCTTGGGCTGGCAATGCCATGGTCCCTTTCCTTCAGTACTCCAGCCCATTGAGTCTTGGGCCCTCGCAGCCTATGGTCACATGTGGGACCTGATTTCTCTTGAACAGCATATTATAGCTGAACCTGTCCTGCCTCAAATTTCTCCCTTCCTTCCTTCCTTCCTTCCTTCCTTCCTTCCTTCCTTCCTTCCTTCCTTCCTTCCTTCCTTCCTTCCTTCCTTCCTTCCTTCCTTCCTTCCTTCCTTCCTTCCTTCCTTCCTTCCTTCCTTCCTTCCTTCCTTCCTTCCTTCCTTCCTTCCTTCCTTCCTTCCTTCCTTCCTTCCTTCCTTCCTTCCTTCCTTCCTTCCTTCCTTCCTTCCTTCCTTCCTTCCTTCCTTCCTTCCTTTTGTTCTTTCTTTCTTTCTTTCTTTCTTTCTTTCTTTTAATTTACCAGAGGGCAGAGGCAGACTAAGATAGAGAGAAAGTGAGAAGGCATTCCCCCCATAGGGAATGGTCATGCCACAATCCATTCTCCCTCCTTTCAGGATTATGGGCATACACACACATGCACTTGGCATGTTTTTCTTTAAAGCCACCTTGTACAGAACAAGAACTATGCAGTTGGCCATGTGAGATCTGACCTCCTCAACCACCATGCCACTGGCTGACCCAAATGTCCCCTTTTTATAAGGACACCAGTCATATTAGTTTAGGACCCACCCTAATCAACTCTTTCTTTCTTTCTTTCTTTCTTTCTTTCTTTCTTTCTTTCTTTCTTTTCTTTGAGGTTTTTGCTATAGGGCACGTGTGCTCGCCAGACAGACAGAGACATAGAGACAGAAAGTGAGAAATCACCCCCCAGGAGGGATGGTCACGCTGCAGTCCCTTCTCCATCTCCTCTTGGGATCTTGGGCACGCACGTACATGCGCCCGGCGTGAGTTTTAAGCCACTGGGTCCAGGACGTGAACCACGGTCGACTATGTGGGAGTCCAGTGACATAGCCATTATGCTAACTGCTGGTTCCCAACTCTTCTTAACTAATCACACTTGCAGGGACCCTATTTCCTTTCTTTCTTTTTTTTTTTTTTTTTTTGGAGAGGTTTTTGCTATGGGGCACCTCGCTCCACCAGTTTTTTTTTTTTTTTTTTTTGCTATAGGGTGTGTGCATTCACCAGAAAGACAGAGAGACAGAAAGCGGGGAAGTCACCCCCCAAGGGGGATGGCCATGCCACTATCCCTTCTCCATTCTCCTCTCGGGATCTTGGAAACGCACACACACGCGCCTGGTATGAGTTTAAGCCACTGGGTCCAGGACTCAAACTGTGGTTGACTACATGGGAGTCCAGCGACATAGCCATTATGCTAACTGCTGGTCCTGCAGTGACCCTATTTCCAAATAAGGTCATATGCTAAAGTACTGGGGCTTAGGACTCTAATGGACCTTTTGGGGAGACATAATCACCCCATAACATGGAAAATGCAGAGGAGAATCTAGTTGTATTCCCTTCCAGGAGAATCCTATTAGGAATCCTGGTGCCCAGGCTGAATAAGCCACTCTTTGGAAAGTGTACTGGTGATGAGTACACAGCCAGTCCTCCTGCTTCAGAGTAGAGATGAAGGGACTTGTGGGAGGTACTGCTGGCTCCTTCGGCGAGCGCTGTGTGCTCTTCAGGTCCTGGGCATCATGCCTGGGTTTCCCACAGTCCAGTGATGGAAGCAGATACAGCTGTAGATCCTTGCAGAGGCATGCAAGGCAGAGTCACAAGTGGGCTCATGGCAGCACTAGGAAGCCAATGTTGCCAGCAATAACATGTTTATATGCTCAGAATTGTGGACCCAACATGGAGAGGCTTGCTTTAACTCTGAATTTTACATTGTTATAAAAAGTATTCCAGAGACCAGCCAATGACATAATGGTTACGTCCCTGGACTCCCACATGGTAGACTACGGTTAAAGTCCCAGACCCACTGCCTTGAAACTCAGGCTGGGAGTATGTGTGCTGCCCAAGATCCCAAGAGGAGAGTGGAAGACAAGAGATTGTGGTGTGGCCATCCCCCTGGGGTGTTGATTTTTCATTTTCTGTCTCTCCAGCTAGCATATGCACCCTATAGAAAAACCTCTCTTAAAAAAAAAAAAAAAAAATCTGAAAGGAAGGCGAGACTTCCAAACTTCAGACCTGTGCTCACTTTTTATGTGCCCTCTGCTGGTGACCAACAGAACAGCACATTCTCTGTGATGCTCCAGGCAGGAAAATGAAACAGTTGCTACACTTACCAAGCCCAGGCCCTGTGTTGGGCAGCTTCCTGCAGCCCTTGTGACAGTGAGGGTACATTGTGATCGTGATTGCCATCTTGGGTGCCAGAAACAGGGTAAAAGAAGTTAGGTGACTTAAGCCCAGCTGGAAAGCAGGATGAGGGCCTACGTGTGGGTCTCTCCATTACCCCCTTCCAAAGGGTCCCTTATGATTTTACAAAGAGACATGTATGCTTCACAGGGTTTTTATTTCTATTTTATTTTCTAACTTTCCCCCTAATAGTTTATTATAAAAATTTTCAAACATACAGACAAAGCTAGAAGAATTATACAAAGCCCAGCTGCAATGGTGCAAGTGGGAGTTGCTGTTGCACGTTGGCTGTAGCCTCAAGGGGGGACTGGGTTCAGTTCCCACTGCATTTTAAACAAGCTGGACACATGGTATGCACCTGTGGTCCTTGCTAACTGGGGGCTGGAGCAAAGAGATCATAACCTGCTGAGATCCTAGTTAAACGAAACAAAACAAAACAATCCCACAACTCTCTAAAATTAAAAAAAGAAATTGTACACCCACTACCTAGATTCTACGATTAATATGTTGCTCTATTTGATTTATCACCTCTTCAGAGACTTTTTTTCAGAAAGAGATATTTGCTATAGGGTGCATGCGCTCATCTGAGAGACAGAAAGCAAGAAATCACTCCCTTGGAGTGGATGGCCACTCTACAATCCCTTCTCCATTCTCCTCTCAGGGTTTTGGGCAGGCATGCATATGTGCCTGGTGTGTTTCAAGCCACCAGGTCTGGGACTGAAACCACAGTAGACTATGTGAAAGTTCAGCAACATAACCATTATACCATCTGCTGGCCCTTGGAGACGGGCTTTTTAAAATTCCAGCTGCTTTTACAAAATATGCATCTAAAACAAAACAGTGCAGAAAAATTAAAAATATAGCACACAAA